GAGAAGATTCAAAAGCTGAAGGAAGATGCAATGACTGTGTTTGATGAGCAGAAGATGAGCTCTAAAGCTTTGACTGAAGATATTCCTCTCTCATTTGGCCAAGATGAACAGTATTGGCAAGATCCAGCTGTAATTGAAGCTTGGGATAGGTTTTCGAAGATTTCAGGCAATGACAAGCATGCTGAATCTACAATTTATGCTAGGGTTGATCAACTGATTGAATTAGAACCAATTGATATTACTAAGATTGCTGCTGAATGTGTTCACATAGCAAGTGGTATACCTGATGTTGAAGATCCATCTGTTATCATACAGCCTAAGGTTGCTGAACATGTATTTAAAAAACTTGGAGAGTCAAGTACGAGATATAGTTTAAGAAGTTCAGTTGCCAAAGGATGTGGAACTCCTTCATTCATCTTAGGAATCTCTTCTCAAGAAAATGATTCTCAGGAGAAGTCCCCTGGCATTGCACCTACTGATGAACCTGTAGTTTCTCCTGTCAGTGCACAAGTTGGTGCTTCTAAATCAGTTGATGATGTTGATGTTGTGAATGCTCAAGAAGACCCTTGCTATGTGAACACATTCAGCAGCAATCTTAAGAGAAAAGGAGATGCTGAAAATGAGAGTTGTATTCCAAAGAAGCGTAAAGTGCAACCATCGTTGCAGATAAGATCTCCTTTTAAGTCTCGGATTATTAACATATATACACCATTAACAGCAGTTCAGAAAGGTGTTATGGATTCATTTTTTCATGAGAAGAAAAATCGTTTGTAAGTATTTATTCAATTTTTTCAGTTCTGGAAATTTTGGCAACTGACTTTATTTTTCTTTCTTATAACAAGTCTAGCTCTATATTCTCACTTTACATATCTACGATTGAAATTATTTTAACTTCCCTAAATCTTATATGTAGTGATGCAGGGTTTTTATGCGAGGGTGAGCCTGATAATGAAGTAATGCTATTTCAACTTGAAATGCTAAAAACTCAGAGCAAAATTCATGGCGATATCATTAATGCATGGTCTACTGTTCTGAATTTTAATGAGCAATATAAAGATGTCAATTCTAGTGGATGTTTCTTTTTCGGTCTTAATGTTGTTGTAAGTTCAACTCGTTCATTTTATTTTGTTTTATTTTGTTCATGTTCATGTTGCTCATTTCATATAATTTTTTTATATTTGAATGTAGATGTTGTTTTGTATTTGCAAAAACTATTATTAGTTCTTTGCTCATTTAATTTGTCAAATGAGCAAACTATTCAATGCTCATTTGTCAAATATTCTTGCTCATTTGTCAAATGAGAAAAAAATAAATACTGAACTAATTCAAGTCTCTTATTGGATTTTGATAAAATATTTGAAATATAGAACTAATAATAATATAAATTCTGACTTTCTTGGTCTGAATCAATGTATAATCAGTGTTTATGAGTTGTATTATGGTCTAATTTTGGTCCTGCACAATTCGGACTCTTATTTATGACCTGTATTATGGTCTGAATCAGTGACGAGTGAGAATTCACAGACATGCTGCATCTATAATTCTATATGTTCTATGTACATCCACCACACTGCCTCATTGGATGAATGTGGAGAGCAGGTTGTAAGTGTTCAGAAAATGAGTCCTAGTTCACTGAGCTATTAGGAATTCCTCAATCAAGATTAGCAAATGAATTTTTGTTGTGTGAATTTTGGAAAGCCAGCAAACTGCTGTATTCAGAACTCATGATATATGCCACAATCACTATATATTAAAGCATGAACTATCATATATCAGATCAATCTTATTCTTTTTAAAATATTAAAAGAACAAGATTAAAGCATAAACTAGCATTAGCATGAACTAACTTTCATATATTAAAGCATGACCTCTAATTACATTCGTAATTCTCATGGCAGATATCCGTGTAAGCACAAATGAGGCTGATAAAATAAAGCTTAAACCAAAGGACTTAATTCTTTATGTTTATGATGCTATCTGACAACTAACATTCTGCATGTTCTGTAATTACATAAATAATTGAATGATAGCAGCAATTAATTCTTTGCTCATTTGCCAAATGAGCAGTTAATTTTTTGCTCATTTGTCAAATGAGCAAAACATTCACTTGCTCATTTGTAAAAAACATTTCAATTTACTCATTTTATATGACTTTTCTCATTTCATATTCACTTTACTCATTTGTTATTTACTCTTTTCATTTATATTCATCTTATTTATGTATTTTTCTTTATTTATTTTTTTAGGATTGCCTTTTTCAATACGAAAGTGATCGTGCTCAAGAAAGGAATAAAATGTTTTGTGAGGTTGTGGAGTTGGAATTCAGCAAAACAATCATCCCAAAGAAAGATATTGAGCTTTTCTTTTTCCGAGTAGTTGAAAAGGATCATTATTATCTGGTATGTTTTAACACCACCACAGACTGTGGTACAATCGAGGTTATTGATTACAGTGAAGGTCCTAGAGAAAATAAGAAATTGCTTAAAAATTTGGTATGTCTTCTGCCACTTCTTCTTCATCATTAATATCCTTATTGATGCCTGCCATGTTGTTACCAGATTCCTTATTCATGTCTCCTCTCATTATATCACTGGTACCCTAACCCTTTTAGAGGATTCTCCTCTGAATTTCTCCTTTCTCCCATAACAAGAAAATACACACACATACACTCACGCCAGAGACACACACACACACATACACAGGCGCGCACACACACACACACACATACACACACACGCATACACACACACATACACACACGCACACACACACACACACACACACACAAGCAAAGTCTTAAATAACTTCCTGTTAGTCTCTGTCTCTGACCTCACTTTGAATCTATTCATGGTCAGCTTGATTCTTTCGGGATAATTTCCAAGTCAGATGGATTATTGGCTTTGCTGCTTTCAATTACAGAAACTTATTGCACCTACCTACACTTTTTAGGAAGCACGAATATGGTTTCTTCATAGACTCTTTATTTTGTTTGTGCTAATTTTATAGTTGATGGAAGATATATTAGTTGTTTATATGAAAAAAGGTGAAAGGTAGGAAGCCCTATTGATTGTTTAAGATTCTCCCTTTTGGTCCAGCAGATCTGTACGACGACTGTACTAAAACATGAAGCATTTAGTTATGCATCCTTATAATCTTCTCAAACCTGTCTTAGCATTAGATATGAGAATACTTGCATTTTATTTCCCTGTGAAGAGATATCTTGTCCTAGAGTGGCTTATATTGCGAAGTGGCTTATGTTGTCCTGGAATGGCTTATATTGTGAATTATCAAATGTATATGTATATATGACATGTAAAACTTTTCTAGAGGATACTTGCAAAACTCTGTGATTTATTTTTCTACATAATGTGCATCTCTGCATTTGAACAATGTGTTTGAGAGTTTCTGATTGTATACAGGCACACACACACACACATACACAGGCGCACACACACACACACGCACACACACACAAATACACACACACACACACACAACACACACACAAGCACACATACAACCTGTAATAGAATCTGAAATCAGATTCTGAAATTAGTTTCTGGAATCAGAATTGTGTAATGTGTGGGTAGGTTTGTGTGGGTAGGTGGCAGTAATGGCTCAAGATTTTATTAGATTATTTTAGAAAAATGATTTGAGTTTAGTTTTTTATCTTGATCTTGTTCTGCTTGTTCTAACTATATTTGTTCCACCTGTTTTTGTTCTTATTTTAACTTATTTGTTCATTTTCAGAAAAGTGCATTTTCATATTTCATGAATGGTGAAGGAAGTATACAAAGTGTTGTTTTGTCAATCAAGTCTATGGAGTCTGTTGTGGTTGATTTACCTTGGAAGTCTTCAGATGATAATCATTTGCATTGCGGTGTTGCAATGATGAGGCATATGGAAACATATATGGGTTGCAAAAGTGGAATTCAGGTTTAAAGAAAAATAATGTAAGTCTAACCAGAAAAAGTCTAATTGCAATTTTTATAATTTGCTTCTTATGGAATGAGAAATCTGCACTTTTTAGATTAAAATTTGTGAGCAGCTTGTTGATATACATTCATGAAGCCATTACTTACCTTATACTTACTCTGAATTATTGCTTCATTTTTTCTCTTTGCAGGACATAATCATTGAAAAACTTCGTTTGAAGTATACCCTCTCAATTATTTCAAGTGAAGTAAATACTGTTAAACCTGTTAAACAAGTTGTCCAAAAGAAAAAAAAGGCTGAGGAAGCAATTAATGCTGAAGAAAGCTAGGGGCAGCAATCCAAGAGCAATTAACGGAGAGAATTGAAGACTGAAGTTGATCAATTGTTCTTAGGATTTGTATAGTTTTTGTACAGAACAATAGAAGTGTTAGTTTTATGATGTTCTTAATAGGACAAATGTGATAAATGTTCTTAGTTAATCTAATGTTTTTATGATGTTGTTAGGATTTTCTAAGTATAAATTTTGCTATGTCAATGTAATGGATATCATTTTCTATCTTATTGACTAAGTTGTTTGTCATTTGTTAAATTCCTGATTAACTATTTGCTCATTTGACAAATAAGCAACTAACTATTTGCTCATTTGACAAATGAGCAACTAACTATTTGCTCATTTGCCAAATGACCAAATAAATATTTGATCATTTGACAAATGAGCAACTAACTATTTGCTCGTTTGCTAAATGAGCAAAGAAATGTTTTCTTATTTTTTAAATGAGTAACTAATTATTTGTTCATTTAAAAAATGAGGAAACTAATGCTTACTCATTTCACAAATGAGCAAAGAAATGGTTGTTGATTTAATGTATTATTAAAAGGAATGTTTACTCATTTGACAAATGAGTATTAACTATTTGCTCATTTGACAAATGAGTATTAACTATTTGCTCATTTCAACAAAATTAAAAACACAAAATGCTAAATCTTATATTTATATAAAAATATTAACTTTTATATTTGTATAAAAGTATCATTATACAAATATCAGCAAATATCTAGTTAATTTAGCCTCTATGATTTTGAAGATTAAGGTATGTTGGGTTGTTCTCTTTACTGAACTCATTGTATAATATCTTGGATTGGACTATTTCTGTTACCAAGGACATTACAATAGCTTTGGTATAATTACATATGTGTGTATGATAGATAACAGAGCTTGCAAAATATTTGCTCATTTCAACAAAATTTAAAACACAAAATGCTAAATCATATATTTATATAAAAATATTAACTTTTATATTTGTATAAAAGTATCATTATACTTTGTTTGGACAATTTCTAATATCATGATGACTCAATTCACCACAACCTCTACATAATCTCTTCTTTTTCTGGTTTTGTTCTACAGCCTTTTCTTTTTCTCCCTTCAGCCTTTTTGCACTTCTACCTCTTGTTTCAACATTTGGCACATCAATCTCAACCCCTTTCTCTTTTGAAGTCTCTACATTTGATACATGAATTCCAGTCCCTTTATTCTTTGAAATTTTTGGAGGTTTGAAAATTATTTCAGTTGGCACACTAGCTCCAATCAATAGCTCAATGTCTTGTCCTTTGTTGTTTGCACTTCCTGTTGTTTCATTATTCCTTGCAATCCTCTTAGCCTCCAAATCCTTTCTTATTCCTTGAAGATTTATCACAAGATCTTGAATATCTTCATCATTGCCTTCTGCCAAACTTACACAATTGTGTATCTCTGACCATAAATCATTTAACAATTTTTTCTTGTCAATTAAATTAGCACATTGCTCCAACAGGTTTCCACCCAAGTCAAAAATTGGTTTTTTCAGTGCCATAGTAGTCCATCTGTGTAGCATATACTACTCAGGAATGGTTTCAAACCTTTTTGCTTTCCAAACCCAAATCATATGTCTACATGGAATTCCTTGTCTAAAAAACAACTTGCAAGAACATGTGGTGTCAAAGTTAGTTGGATTAAACATAACATCAAATGTTCTAATCCGATTTCCTTCACTTACTTTTGCAACTTCCAATCCATTTTCTTTCTTCAATTCATCAACACCACAAGAAAAACAAGCAATTTCAACCTCATATTGAAACTCATAAAAGACAGAGTTAGTATATAAATGTGAGGCATGCTTTTCTATCCCTAGTGGTGTTTTGCACTCAGGATATTTGTGCTTTGAATCATTATCATTCTGACCTTGAGTGTGTCTCTGGGCATCAATTGCAGCTTCATATCTCAAGTAAAACTCAACAAATGACACATGAGGATTGATAAAGGAGCAGAAAAAGTTGTTTTCGCTTTCGGATCTTGATGTTGTACGCATTATTCCTCCAAGGAACACATCTCTGAAATACGCCGGAATCCACTTGTTCCTTATCTTGTACATATAACCTAACCACTCATGTTCTTCCAAGTGGTATTCAACCATCACCTTGTTCCACCTTTCTTCAAACTCAGCAGGTTCAATTTCAAGATGCCAAACACAAGCACATAATTTTTTTAGGAAACCAGTTTCTTCTTGCATGATTGATTTCTCCACCTTATCTGGTAACTTTTTCATTATGTGCCACATACAGAAGCGATGTTCAGTCTTGTTAAACACACTTTTAACAACAATTTTCATTGCTGGATCTTGATCTGTAATCATACAATTCGGTTCATTTCCACCCATTAACTTGAGAAATGATCTGAACAACCACTCAAATGACACTATATCTTCCTTTGCTATGAAACCAGCAGCAAAAGTAATGCAGCTCTTATGATGGTCAACCCCTGTAAATGGAGTAAACACCATGTTGTACCTGTTTACACATACAAATTAAATTTTAAATGATCAAATAACTACACACACACATAAATACACAGACACACGTACTTAGACACAGACATACACATACATACACGCACTCACAATCTGTGATAGAATCTGAAATCAGATTATGAAATCAGAATTGTCATCAGCTACTGAAATAATTCAATGCTCATTTGTCAAATGAGCAAATAATTGAATGCACATTTCTGAAATGAGCAAATAAGTCAATGCTCATTTGTGAAATAAACAAACAGTTATACTAAGTTCATTTAAAACAAAGTTATTAATTTAAGCTATAGTTATAACATAAAAATGAATTGTGATTTTTATGAATTACCTATTGGTTTGGTATGTGGTATCAAAGGATACCATATCACCAAATAGAGCGTAACTCTTTTTACAAAGGGGATCAGCCCATAATGCTTTACAAAGGCAATAATCATCATCCATCTCAAAATCAAAGAAAAAAGCGCTCCACATTAACTTTTTGTTGGTAAAGTTATCCACGAACATTTGAGCATCACTTCCTTGAATGTATGCTTTCAAATCTCTATGAAAATTTTTGAAATCTTGCTTAGATGCACCGATGTTATCATATCCTCCAACAATTTCCTTCATCATTCGAAAAGTTGTAACAGGACCAATATTCACCTATTTAAAGAACAAAACAGTTTGTCAAATGAGCAAATAATTTAATTCTCATTTTTAAAATGAGCAAACAATTCAATTATTTGCTTGTTCATTTGAACAATTTAATGCTCATTTTTAAAATGATCAAACAATTTAATGCTTATTTTTCAAATAAACAAACAATTAAATGCTCATTTTTCAAATGAGCATACTACTTTTATTAGAACAACAGAGAATTCATGAAAGATAAGAGACTTTGAAAGTCGTACCTTAGAATTATTCACAATTATTTTTTTGTGCAATATGTTCATTTTTCTTCCTTCTTTTTGGAAGAGATTGCAACTAGGTGTATAAAGTGGATGAGTATGTCCCTCATGAAATTGTGACACTATGAATTTGTTATCATCACAATGCTTTATGATAATATGTGCCTTGCACTTAACACGAGTAACGAGTCTCTTCCTTTTGATTGAAGTTTTTTCTTCATTGCTTTCTCCTTCGTTGTTATTTAAATCTTTTTCAACAGTAGGCTTTCTTTTCTCTTTGTATCCTTCTTTATTGCATAAGATATACTGTGATTTCAATTCTTTGCTTCTTCTTTGCCTTTTAGTTGTAGATTTTCTTGTGTTGAATCCAGCAGCAAATGCGTATCTTTTATAAAATTCAAGGCCCTCTTCAAGATTATTAAACTTCATCCCTATAGCTGGTTTCAACTCATTGGGGCATATTGGAAGCCATTCTTTTGTTCCTCCAGGAGTGAGAAAAGGTGCTACTTTAGGAGAAACTACTATTGTAGGAGTAGTTGCCACATTTGTGATGGTACTAGAATGACTGTCAAGTTCTTCGTTGTTGCTCATCATTTCTGAAATCAGATTCAGAATTCAGAATTGCAAACAGAAAGATGAGGGGGGAGGGGGGAATAGGTTTGTATAAGTAAGTGTAAGAAGGGAGTGTGGTTGGTGTGCAGGAAATAGACCAAAAAGAAGGGGGGTGGGGCTTGTGTGTAGGCAAGAAAACCAAGGAACTCAATGCTTTGATAGCAGAAACTAGATGATTTGAAAAGGAGTAAAACTTGATAATGCTACCCTTCAATATGATTTGCAAAACCTAGCATATATAGCATTCAGTATAGCATATTTGCCTACAAAAACCATACATTCTTACACACACACACACACTCTAACACATGCACTCTTACACTCACTTACACACACACACACACATACACACAGTAATTTCAGATTATCACAGCACACAGAAGTGCTCAGTCTAAGAAGCACAACCACTTGTTCATTTGATAAATGAGCAACTAAATATTTGCTCATTAGCTACAGCTACCTCTTTCACTTTCACTGCTTCTGCAACTCATGTTAATGAGCTGAATCCCATTTCTCACCCTCTTTCTTACACTGTACAATTACCACCACCACCAAACTCTCTCTCCTTCCTCTGCCCCTGTCCCTGTACCTTACCACCACCGATATCACCACCACAACCTGTCTCACTCTCACTCCCTCGCCGCCACCCCTGTCCCTTGCACCCTACCACCACCATAATTACCAACTTATTTTGCTCATTTGCTCCTTTTTATATTTGCTCAATTTAATTATGTTTGCTCATTATATGTTTTTTATATTATTACAAATATTTAGGTTTGCTCATTTTCAATTCATTTGCTCGTTTTAAATTTGATTGCAAATTTTCAATTTCTATCAAATTAATCAAACCTAAATTTTTGATTTAATTCAAAATATTTCAAAGAAGTAAATTCAATCAAATCCATAATTGATGCAATTAAACAAGCAATTCGATGAGAACAGAACAAACCTCAAAAATCGAAAATTATCATGCAATTAACATGCAATTCAATAACCTGGTGATTGATGCAATTAAATATGCAAATTAATAAGAACAGAACAAACCAAAAAATCAAAAATTATCATCCAATTAACATGAAATTCAATAACCTGGCGAATATAGCGCAAGGCGAGCAAGGTCGGTGTGAACTTGCTTATGATTACTTTGATGAAGCAATTGATGAAGCAATTTGAAGCAATGAGAAACAGCGTTACTGATTAGGCGCCATTGATGAAGCTTCGTGGTGGAGAGAGAAGTTAGTTAGCTAGGTGGAGAGAGATGACAGTTAGGTGGTGTATTTACTGATTTTTCCATTACTATGCGCTTTTTCATCCGTCAGATCTTAGTTCAAGGGCCCAGATTTGGTCTCATATAAGAGATGGTCTCATATAGGAGGATGGTCTCACCGGATCCCGACCCTATATATATATATATATATATATATATATATATATATATATATATATATATATATATATATTGATATATTGATTAGAGGATTTGCAAGATAGGTATAGGATGTGTTTAATTATTGCTTAATTTCATCAATAATTTTCACCTTCGTCTATGCCAGTGAACCATGGTGGATTATTGTGGAAATTAGTCAATTACTAGCGTTTGACTCGTATCTGAGTTGTATTTGTTTAATTAATACTTTTGATCATCATCTGTTTTTAATTGTTTTTACATGTAACACTTTTCCATTCACGCTTGTCAATGCATTATTTTTATCACTCAAGGTTTGATACGAGTGATATATAAATATTATTGTAATAGATAACTACTATTGTAATAGAGGAAGGTAATAGATAAATATTATTGTAATAGAGTTTGAGTTTTATTAAATTACTAGCGTGATTAATTGGTTATCAAGTGTATATCTTATTCACAAATTTTTATATATGTGGTTGGCCAGCCATAATAGGGGTTATTACTTTGTTAGTGTAATTGAGGTTACTTGGTCAGTTTTATAGGAGTTATTACTTCGTCAGTGTTACAGGATTTCTCAGTCAGTGTTATCGGGGTTACTCTGTCAGTATTATAGGGGTCACTTGATCAATGTTATGGGGGTTACTTTGTTCTTTTATAAATGGCCACACGTTATGCCCAGCCACACACAAGACGGGATGTATCTTATTATATATTATTAAAATTATGAGCATGTGATATTGTTTAAATATATCTCTCTCTCTCTCTCTCTCTCTCTCTCTCTCTCTCTCTCTCTCTCTCTCTCTCTCTCTCTCTCTCTCTCTCTCTCTCTCTCTCTCTCTCTCTCTCTCTCTCTCTCTCTCTCTCTCTCTCTCTCTCTCTCTCTCTCTCTCTCTCTCTCTCTCTCATTATAGTTGCAACATTGCTTATTTAATAAGGACTCGTTAAGATTATGTTTAGTTCACCTTATTTCAAAATCATGTAATTAATTTTTATTAGATTAGACAAAATAAGTTTTAAACATACTTAGTTGTTTTATGTGAGATTCTTTATCGGTACATTTTATATCTTTAATTTTTGCAATGAAAATAAATATAAAATTAAATTAAAAAAAAAATTACTTGTATATAAATCTAATAAACTATTTAAAATAAGATATTTAAATAAGGTGAACTTGTATAAACTATTAGGTTATGTATAAAATACATGTATGCAAATCTAACAAAATAAGATTGTGAACTTAACATAACCTAATATATACACATATTTTATTTCTCTCTCACCTACCTCACTTAAATTATTTTTCTAACAAGTACTGTATTATTTATCTCTCTCATTAAGGGCACTAACAGTTAAATATCTGCTAGCTATACTTATATCATAAGATTCAATCTTTTATTAAACTTTATGCAATGTCTAACGTTAATAGTAATTCGAAATCGAGATGTCAAATACATAAGATACTTGTATGAGTAGTACAATATTTGGCACTAACCCTTTTTCTTTAATTCCACCATGTGTACCTCATAACCTCCACTAAATTACTCCATGTGTATTATGTAATTATGTTTGTGTAGCACCTTCATTTAACTTATGTAAAGTACACTAACACTGATTACCTTAATCAATTAAATATTGCAACCATCCAAATAAATAAATTGTTCAACAACTTATTTCTTTTTTTTTTTTTTTAAAAAGAAGGTGATCAAAAAGTCGGACCAGATTTAGCCTTAACATTATATCTCATGCTCGAACTCGCAAAATATAACGGACTTTTATCAACGAATTTGAATTTTTAAGTAAAAAATATTTTAACCTTATCCAAACACGCCCTATTTTCAAGCCAGATTGGGCGGAACCCATGTTAAATTGTTAATCACCTCTAAAATAATGTAATGATTCTTACAGATTGTAATAACAACACAAAAATCCCCCATCCAAAAACACCGACACTCTTCCCAACACTATCTCTCTCGGTCTCTCCTCTCTTCTCTGTCCGAGGGTTCTTAATTCACCTTCAAAAATCCCCAATTTTTTCAATTGCCGCCATTAATGGCTTCCCTAATTCCTTGAATTTCCGCCATTAATCTCCAAAAATGTTAGAGAAGTGCTTAGGAGTTCGCAAGGCTAGGCAGCTCTACAGATTCTTCCGCCATTGCAATGTCACCTTCCTCTGCCTTCTTCTCACCATCATCGTTCTTCGCGGCACAATTGGGGCCGGAAAATTCGGAACTCCAGAGCAAGATTTCCTCGAAATTCGCAACCATTTCTCATCTCGTAAGCTTTCTGAACCTCATCATCTTCTTGAAGAGGTAAAATCATTGTCTCCTTCGAATTCGAATTCGTTTAATTACGCTAATTTTGATTACAAGAAGTTTTATTATGATGATGATACTGGTGTTGATGTTGAATTATCTTCGTCTTCTGGATTATTGCCTTATAAATTGGGTCTTAAAGTTGTTGATTGGGATGGGAGGAGAGAGAATTGGTTGAAAGAACACCCAGAAATGCCCAATTTTATTGGGGAGAAGAAGAAGCCTAGGGTTTTGTTAGTAACTGGTTCGTCTCCGAAACCTTGTGAGAGTCCTGTAGGTGATTATTACTTGTTGAAGTCGATAAAGAATAAGATTGATTATTGTAGGTTACATGGGATTGAGATTTTCTATAATATGGCATTGTTGGATGCTGAAATGTCCGGGTTTTGGTCGAAATTGCCGTTGATTAGGACTCTGTTGTTGGGTAACCCCGAAATCGAGTTTCTTTGGTGGATGGATAGTGATGCTATGTTTACTGATATGGAATTTGAGTTGCCTTGGGAGAGGTATGAGGGTTATAATTTGATTATGCATGGTTGGAAGGAGATGGTTTTCGAACAGAAGAATTGGATTGGGTTGAATACTGGGAGTTTTTTGATTCGGAATTGTCAATGGTCGTTGGACCTTCTTGACGCGTGGGCTCCAATGGGGCCGAAGGGGAAGACAAGGGTTGAGGCGGGGAAGGTTCTTAGTCAGGAGTTGAAGGGTCGACCTCCATTTGAAGCGGATGATCAATCTGCTATGGTTTATTTGTTGGCAAAGAATAAGGAGAAGTGGGGTGAGAAGGTTTATTTGGAGAATTCGTATTACTTGCACGGCTATTGGGGGATTTTGGTTGATAAATATGAAGAGATGCTTGAGAATCATCATCCGGGTTTAGGTGATGATAGGTGGCCGTTGGTGACTCATTTCGTGGGTTGTAAGCCTTGCGGAGTGATTAGTGATTATCCTGTGGAAAGATGTTTGAAACATATGGAGAGAGCGTTCAATTTTGGGGACAACCAGGTCTTGAAAATGTATGGATTTTCTCATGTGTCACTTGCTAGCAGGAGAGTTAAGAAATTACGAGATGAGACCCTGAAACTGGACGAGGTTAAAGATAAGCAGGGGATTGAGGCAACGAAGGCATCATGATCTTGAGCTGGCTTGTCATCCCTCTCTTTTATCTGTGATCTCTCAGCTCTTATTTCATGTTTGTGTATGACATCATAGGTTTCGTATGAGGGTTTGTGTATGTGCTTGTTAGGATTGTACATAATATTCTTTTGTTCCTTTTTAGGAAACCATACTCGTATCACTTGAAAGAGATAAGTACCATGTTTTTTTGGTTCTCTTCTCAGCTGCTGTTGCTTGATAAATATCTAGTGAATTTGATGTATTAACACTGATCTTGTCGGTGTTTGTTACCGGGGGATCTGAGTATATAATCCATGTTTAGCATCTTTCAGAAATCTAAGTACATAATCCATGTTTAGTTTCTTGCCTTTTCTTTCTGCAATGGTTTCTTATTCTATGGAAAGTCTTCAAATATAGGGTGTCATGGTTAACCTTAATGGTGATTGGGTTTATGATGGGCAGTAAACAATAATACTTGTGTAGTGGATCATGTGAATGGTATTTTTTGATGAGCTGCTGACATGAATCACTGGGCAGTTGAATAATTACATACTAGGACTCCCGGCGTTTACCACTTGGGTGCATGAATTACTGCACACCGGTTTAGGCACTACACACGCCAAACGTGTGTTGATCAAGCCAGTCATGTACACCCCTATCATAACCAGTATGCAGAGTACACTGATGGGTTCCTAGTATTATTTACCCCTGTTTGAAGGTCACAGCTTATAACTATATGTCTGTCACAATTCTGGGTTAAGACTTAAGAGGCATATGTTTTTTGCTGCCAGTTATCGCGATTTCTCTCATGTTATTGGTGATGATCTCGAAAATGAGACTAGGTTTGGAAAATAGATATTTACTACTTCTAGGAGCTTATTGGTGTATCTGACATTTTACATATTTGTTAACGAGCAATGGAAAGGCCTTCACTGAAGGCAAGCAAAGACACTCTGATCTTCAGTTGAAGCATTGGATTGTCGATAATGATGGTCTTGGTAATAGATATCTTTCACATTATCAGTTTTACGCTTATCATCCCGCTCATTTATCAATATTAACACGTAAGACTTTGGTTTATCTATATTTAGATTTATTATTAATACAATATGAATTTTTAAATAGACCGCCTTAGATAACTGAAAATATTCTTTGAACATCTCAAAGGCCCAAAAAGTGTATAACTTTAACATTTAATAGATTTATATCTCTAGTTTCTGTCTAGTGGACAGTGTACTCCTTACGATTTTTTGCAGATGCTGAAATTCTTTGCTCAAACTCTTGTATTAGTACAGCAGCAAGGCAGCAACCAAATATATTTAAACTTTTTTCTGTAATATTAAGAAACTTCATCAAACTTGAAGATAATTAGTACATACAAACATTATAACTCACATAATAAGCAAATACGAGTAACTATAAAGCGAAAGAAAAGTAAAAAGATAAGAAGAAACACGTTTAAAACGACATCAAAATGGTTGCGAAAGAGCTTTATATCTACAGACATTCAACAACAGATTCATGTTACACCAATAATTTTAGTTCAGCATAAACTTAAGGCTTATAAAACAAAGAAGTGCAGACCATCCCAAGCACGGCAGAACTAAATCAGCGGCGATGTCGCTCACTTGTTTAAACGCCCTATAACACTGATACAAACCATAACAAACTCCGACTGCAACCAACAAACCAGCCCAGTTCGCACCGAGCTTAAACATCAAGGGATCCCAAAGGAGACTCAACCCAAATTGACCAAAATATAACCCGGCTGTATTCGGGTTCTTATGAAACCCACCTTCAGCCCAAACGAGCCACCCACAAAGGCCCAATAAGGAAGCTGAGCCCAAACAAGCCATGTGCAAAGCCCATATTGGAGGTACCCAATTCGGTCTGTTGAACAACTTGTAGTTGTCACTTGTACCAAACATGTAGATGTTGGTAAGTGTTAGAATCACCGGGATTGTTAATGCTACACTCAATGATTTAAGACCGCGTTTTGCCATGGTTCTCTTCATCTTCTGCCCAGCCCCTCGAACGCTTTCGTCGTTTGCGGTTGTGGGTTCGTACCTAGTAGTCCTTTGCTTAAGGTTTTGAGTATCCATTTTTACTTGTAAAATTTGAGGTAGGAAGAAGTATAGTGTTTTGTATGAAGATGTATGAACTATGAAGAACTAGAGAAGAAGAAAGGATGACTACAAAGTTTATGTAATAAGGGAACAAACATAAAAATGACAGCAATGCTATAAAAGATTAGACAGGTAGGGGATGTTACAAATTGCCACCGTTGCAATATACAGTAGATTTGAATAAAAGTTAGGATTAGTATTATACCCGGGAATACGTAATATTTATATGATGACACTTGATCAAAGTTATTACGTCCGTATTATTCTAGGATGTGTAATGAGTAAATTGATTGAATATTTGAGTGGTCGCATACTTGAATTTTATTATAGTATTATCCGCTAAGTTAGTAAGTTCGATATATTATAGAACTACAGTACTTGCGTTGCCATGCACGTGGCTGTTCGTGATGAAAGGTCTTTACCGACACCGCTCAAGGCCCATTGCTGAAGGCCCATTGCTGATGCGACCCATTATTGTAATGAATAATGATTAATAGGGTAGTTATGATGTGAAACGAGTTCGAGTTTGAGTTACTTCGATTTTTATTTTTTATTTTTTTTTATTTTTTTATTTTTTTTGACAATTGAGGTACTTCGACTTGACTCGTTTGGTTTCGTTGAATTTTTCTGTTTTTTATTTTGTAAAATCATATTATATAAGTTATATGTTGAATTAAAAATTAGTTTCTTAAAAAAAAAAGAATTAAAAATTATTAAAACTTATTAAAATCATGATAATTTTGAAAATTGACAACAAAAGAGTGGAAATAAATTTTTCTTATTTTTCAATTTTTTGAACTAAAAACAAAAAAGGATGTCAAACAAGCATGATCAAGTCAAGATTAATCGAGTCGAGTTTTGGTTTGACCAAATTTGACCGAGTCAATCTCAAGTAACTTTCAATTTGATTCTTCTACGTAGAACTCCTTATTTAGTGTAAAATGTCTTCCTTCTCTTTAATTTTGTCTTTTGAGAAATATACATGTGGTGATATGAGTAGTACATAAATAATGTACTACCTCCGCTTCGAATTAGTTGCAACTTTGAGCTCGAGACGGATTTTAAGAAAAAATTTTCATAATGGCTGATTAATAAATTAAAGAATAATAAATTAAGGGTAGGAGAGAGAAAGTGAAGGTAATTAATCAATTAGTAACCACCACCACTAACAGCACCGAGCCCACCACCGTAGTCCAATAGCTGCCACCCCGAAACCACCCACCTCACAGCCTCAAACCACCCCATTTCAACCTGAACCACCCTGAAATCACTCCATCTTTACCCGAACCACCCTAAAACCACCCACACACACCCAAACAACCGTAAAACCGCCCTCTCCACCTGAACAACCACGAAACCACCCTCTCTCAGCCCAAACAACTTTAAAACTACCCCCCTCAACTCAAATCATCTTGGAACTGCACCTTCTCCTCCAAATCCACCCCATAACAACCACCGTCATTCACCCCCAAAACCTGCCACACTCACAATGAATCGCCCCAAAACTACCCCCACTCACCCTGAACCACATCGAAACCGCCCTCACTCTACCTAAACCACCCAAAAACAGCCTCGAGCCACCCCAAACTAGCCAACCCACCCCGCAATCCATCAAATCTAAACGATTCTTTTTTTTAAAAAAAAGAGAGAGAGGGGGGGGGGGGGGGGGAACAATGGAGAAGGAGGCGACGACGACTTTGATGATAGCGATGAGCATCGACGGTGTTGAAGATGGTGGGTAGATGCAGCGACGGTGACGGTGACGGTAAAGTTGGTGGTCTAATTATATCGTGGGAGATGAAGATGGAAGCTGAATGATTTTTTATGATTGTTGATTTAATTGGGTAACAAATTAACAATATTATGTTAAATAAGTTAGATTAGGAATTTAATGAAATCTGATTTGGGTAACTAATTGTGTTTATAAAATATTTAGTCAGGGTATTTTTGTACTTTCATTGAAAAAAACTTACTAAAAAAGAAAAAAAAAATGGAAAGTTGCAACTAATATGTAACATAGGTAGTATATTTATTAATTTTTATTGTTTAAAAAAAGTTTTTAAATCAATTTTTTTTTAAAAATATAATCCATCATTCGTATTTTATTTATATTTATTACTTGCTCCACTTTCCTTTTGCGGCTGTATTTTATTAGTTGCTCAATTTCCTTTTTCTGGAAACCTTTAACAATATTTTACTATTTTCCTCCATTAATGATCCCCTTATATCATATTTAATATTTTCATATTTTCTCTTCTCTCCACTTTTACTCACTTTTGCTTTTTTAGATTTTTTTATTCTTCAACCAACCCAACTTCCATAAAGTAATACTTACTACAATTTCTTCTAAAAGTTCATGTCTGAAGAAACGGAGCAGGTAATAAAATTTGGAAAGAGTATTATATAAGGAAATTCGAGTTTCTCACGAGCTTTATTTCGAGTCGAGCTCGAGTAGCCCGCGAGTTGTTTCATATCATAAGCACCCTTAATAATTGACGTCATATTTTATTCCTCTTATTTTCATCCATTAAGGAAAATTAAATTTTCATAAGTTCAATATATGTTCATCAGCAATTATAAAGGCTATATATGTCTAATAATGTTTAGCAGGAGAAATTTATAGTGTTCACCAAGCCTTTGTGCTGCCAAACATTCAAATAATGAACATAAGTCGTAATTGGTTGATTCAAGATCCTTTAATACAAATTAAATTCAATTAGAATAAGCTTATTGTTGATGAAGGTCAATTAATGTATGAACAATAATTAATGAAAAGTCATAATTTTTGTTGACCTCAATAAGCTAATAATCGAATTGAAGTATTTTACTAGGTGAACTGTTTTCGAAAAAGATAGATGAGAAAAAAAAAAAAAAAAGTTGGATTGAAACTTTGAAAGTAGTCATCAGAATTTAGAAATATTAATTAACCTGAATAATTAACATCTTAAAATGATTAAAAATATGGAATAGGGAATTCGTTGTAGATTACAATATTTTTAATGTTCATATTGTTTATTCTAAAGGAAATTTATTGGGAAATTCTAAACGGTGACCTCCAACTTCTGCTACGCACACATGGTGAAAATCAATTATATAAATGACCTTATTTAAGAATCTTATCCCACTTATAACCTTATTTCGTTAAATAATTAATTAAAGTCAATTATGGTTAGATTTATTTATTTATTTTTACAAAAAAGAAAATAAAAAAAATTAACTCAACCACCTAGGCAGCCACCACCACCTTCCCCACTCACTACAAAAAAATAGACATTTAGCAACAGATCAAATCCATTGCTAGATTGTACTTTTCTGTCGCTAAATATAGGTAGCGACAGATTTTTAAACGGAATTACTCCGTTGGCAAAAATGTTGTCGCTAAATGAGACTAGTGACGTTGTATTTGCTTTCCGTTGCTGAACTTAGCAACGGATTTTTCTTTCCGTCGTTGGTTTTAGCAACGGAAAAAAAAAATTCGTCGCTCATATCAGCAACGGAAAAAAAAATCCGTCTCTAAATTTATCAACAAAAAAAAAAAAATCTGACTCTAAATTTAGCAACGGAAAAAATTATTTTGCGTCTAAAAGTAGATGCTATTTGGTTCGACCTCACTCGAGTCAACTTTGCATGTAAGGCTCCTTGAGTTTCCAATCTCAAGAATTGCAATAGGTAGGAGTCGAACCCGTGACCTCAAAGTCAAATAGTGAAACTCTTACCAACTATACCAAATATTATTTGTTTACTTCTACGCACATAATTGATAGTAAGTGAAAGAAATATAAGAGTAGGAATTTAAAATCCGTCTCTAGTTTAGAAACGGATTTTCAAATCCGTTTCTAGTTTAGAGACGGATTTAAAAATCCTTTTCTAGTTTAGAGACGGATTTTAGTTTATATAATTCGTCACTAAAGTAATATTTTACATAATTCAATTCGAAAATAATTTAGAAACGAAATTAAAAATCCGTCTCTAAATTTAGCAACAAAAAAAATCCGTATCTAATTTAGAAACGGTTTTTTTTATTCCGTTTCTAAATTAATTTAGAGACGGATTTTTTTAATTTTGTTTCTATATAGAAACGGATTGAATTCCATCGTTAGAATTCTGTTTCTATATGGACATTTTTTTGTAGTGACTTACCCAGCCACCATCTCCCTTTCCGGTGACGCTACCCTAGGCTCCCCCAATTGCCAGTGACACTACCTCAGCTGCACCTGACCACCACCTAGCCAAAACCCCAAACCATGCCCACAACCCTCCTTCTCTCTCATCCTCCTCCTACGCCACCTCCATCACGCAAACACCACCTCACATTGCCCTACTTCCCGCATTAAACTACAATGGCAGCGAGCACACCGTTGTACCTTCACCAATAATTGCAACCTTCCCGCATACACCATTCCCCTGCTCCTTGCATCAAATTGCAGCCGCAGACACAATCACATCAAACCTGCTGCCACCAATCAGCAACCCTCATCATCTACCCAACACCACCAGCCGCCAATTCGTCACCGTTGCCACAAACTACACCCAACATCGCGACCTTCAAATCGTGCCGCCCCTCCTCCAACCACAACCCACGACCTTCCGCCCCTCGCTCTCCTCCGCTCAGACCCAAACCACCCTAAACACCTCCCTTCTTCTCTCTCCTTTGACAACCTAGCCCTTTGTCGTGGCTTAGGTGAGGTGGTAGGGTTAGGGTTTCGGTGAAGAAGGTGGTGGAGGTAGATGATTAGTGGTGGTTAATTTTTTAAGTTTTTTTTTTTTTTATTATTTTTTTTATTTATTTATTTTTTTAAAATAAATCTAACCATAGTTAAATTTAATTAACATTTTAATGAAATAAGGTTATAAGTGGGATAAAATTCTTTAAAAAGGTCATTTATTATAATTAATTTTCTGAAGGGTTACCATGTGTGCGTAGCAAAAGTTGTGGGTCACCTTTGAGAATTTTTCAAATTTATTTTATTATTGGTTTAAAAAGAATGATTGCCTGTGAAATTCAAGAAATAATTTGGATCGGAAATTTCTTTTTCTTTTTCTTTCTTTTTTTTATTTTTATTTTATTTGATTAATTTTTTTTTTAATTTTTTAATTTTTAATTTTTTATTGAGGCAATCATCCCAATTTGACCAAGTATATTTTTTTTTTGAAGTTTTTTGAGGCAATTGCCCAAGTATAAGTGTATAACATCCGAATTACATAGGTTACTTTAGTCATTGTAAATAAGAATGTTTAAAGTAAAATATTAGCAATGAACAGAGGCAAGCAACTGAATGAACATAGTGGGCCTAGTGGCTAGTGGCACCAGATAGAGTAGAGTAACAAAATGGTAATAAACAATGACGTCACGAGATTAAAAAATACATAACATATTTACATTCTAATGAAACTCTAATAGCTATCAAGATTCAAGAATATACTTGATTACTTGGTCAAGATATCAATAATATAACAGTCTAAATAAAAAAGAAGGTAAAATTTGCAAATATTAGCATAGCCAATATGATGACTGATGAGAATTACAAACATTCAAATAAATAAATAAATACATAAATAAAAAGAAGAGAATTACATAAGAACATAGATAAAATACTGGCATAATCTGTAGTTAATCACGATCGATGAGGAAGGTTGTTATTGCTTGTTAAAAAAGACAGAAACATTTCCTTGTTTAC